AATGACATAGACAATGTCCTGGGCCAAGCAAGGCGTTGACCCGGGGGGTGTATGAGTGGCAGATTGTATTTCACATGCATGAAGCTTGAACATAGGCGGCCTTCGGAACAAAGCCGAAAAACATCGAAAAAACTTGAGGACATGAACTGCAACGACCAAACTGGAACGAACAGGAAAGCAGAGCCAACTTTAGGTTCTTTGGCCCGTTGAAGCCTGAAAAACTGCCCGCAAGCTGGAAAGGTTGAGCGCATTGGAAGCGCTCAGAATCCCGGTGTTCTGCAAGGACTGGGACACGTTCGTGCCTGCAATCAAAAGCGCACCAGCGGTTGCAGTGCGCAAGTTCAAAGGCGACCGGCTTTCGTTTGCAATCATTGCAACGGTTGTAGGATTGTGACCGATGATGGTAAAAGTGGTGTCCGAAGGCAACTCCGCAAAGCGAGCCGCATTCGTCCGGCCAGCGCGAGCCAGAGCGCTGCTGCTGATGAGGTTCGGGTCCACCTCCTGTCTGCCGGGCAAAACGAACTAGGTTATGCTGCGCGAAGCAGCTGAGGAAACGAAACAAGAAGCCGGGATCCAAGGTGACCAAGGAGCAGTGCAATATTGATTGTATCTATGCCGCCGAGAATATGACATATGACATGATTGCGTAAGTCGGAGTGCTGCAAAATTGTGAAGCAAAAGAACAAAAAAACTGAAAGCAGGCGAGGAGCAGATGCCGAAAGTCGTAAAGGGTCCGAACTGTGCCAGTCATACCACTTCTCCCAATGCTGCGTGTACAGCTTTTGCATCACGCCTAGCACGTGGCTGATGTTGCCCTTACCTCCCAAAGCTTGAAGTTCACGCTGCCATGGTGCGTGCAAGGCCTCCGCAGGTTGGTTGCCTGCACCACTGCCAGCCACAGTGCCTTCGAAGCCAGTCCAAAAGCTGACATAAGTTGGGGGGTGGCGAAGAACTTGCGTACTGCTGCGCCAAAGCGAAAGGCAGCGGCCTTTCATAGGTTCGTAACCAAGCGACCAAGTCATGCTCTCCATGTTCGGTAAGTCGACGAAGATACGCAGCCCACAAAGGGGAAAACAAGCGCAACGTGGGAAGCAAGCGCAGAAGCCGCACCGCAGCAACTGCCCAATCCAAATGTTCCTTGACCCATTTCCCCTTTCGTAAGACCGTTTTGCAGCACTTTGCAGCCATAGTCGTATGCTGCTTTTGGCTCCAATGGAAGAAATCATCACATGCACGGGAGTGTGGGAAGCAATCGACGCGGGCAGTTTCAATCTCTTTTTTGAAATCTTTGTGCAATTGGAATGGCAAAGTTGCAAGCGATGGACGGGGTGGAGATGCACTGTTTTGCCAGAGCTTGTCCACGGCCCGGAATAAGCGTTGGAAATTGCCGTGCGTTTCTTGATGGAAAATCGCTTGCACGACGGGCACGGTGTGACTTGTAAAGGCGAACCCTTGAGTTCGAGCAGGTGTGGAGTCCGTGCGGGCAGCACGCGACAAAGTGGTTTTTTCGTAGTTTGTCGCGAGTGAGGAGACCGAAAGTCGCAACGCCATACCCATGCTCGGCAACTTTCATTTTCGCATCAACAGTGCAGCACAATGTAGTATCTTGGTAACGTTCAAAATGGCGAACCATGCCCGGGCAAGAAAAAAATGATGCAAACTTCGTCCTGGGTCAGGACCGGCTCATCAAGTAAAAACAAAGCCGACAGTGTGTCCGGCATGGACCGCGGCAAAGCCGTGAGCTCCAGGCGCGTGACTTCCACCAGGGTCGCATGTCTCGACAGAGTATTCTTCTGGCTTTTCTTCTGTCGCTTCAGCCAGTTGGAAAGTTGCGTGGAGTTGGGCAAAGTGTTTGAAGCAATGTTCGCCGTAGAGAAAGCAAGTTGTAAACCTCGAAGGTCCCGGCCACCGCTTGCAAGAAAGCCTTCTGCAATGGAAAGCTGCTGCGATGTGAATAGCTTGCTGGTGGCTCGACGTGTTTCATGGGAATGCTCACCACACGTCTGCAAAATCAAAGTGCCTGGTGGATGCATGTCATGGGCACTGAAAATGTAAAATGCACGCCAACGCTTGCAGCAGTCAAGCCCATCCAAGCATTCGACTTCGTAGAAGTCTTGCCCACGGGACCGCTTGCGATACTTGATCTCCACACGGTGCTGCGCCCATTCAGGGCGAGCCCGCAGGCATTGCAGCAAAGCTTTGTGCTGCAGCAAAGGCAACGGAAGTTGTTCGACACTCAGAGGACGCCAATCGCTGCGCTCAACAAACGCATTCCCGGCAGCACGAGGCGTGGTTTCCGACGAAGCACCACCAGCACTAGCTGGAGTAATTTCTGCAGGAGCCAACGGCATATCCTCCGGAGGTACTGTGGCTTGGGAGACAGAGTCAGTGGACACGGGGATGGACGGCACAAGACCCCATGTGCTGAACATCAGCAAAGACACACGATGTTCTCGAAGCCAGTCAATTGCCCCAGCCGGGATGTCGTTCAGCGCCTCTTTGGTGAAGCTTGTAGAGCACCCATCGTTGACGTTCACCTTGCCTATCTTGCGGTCCTCAGGAGCAGGGACAAAGGCGAGAAAACAACATGAACAAGTGCACTGGAACTTCAAAACCTGACAGTTGAAACCGAAGGAAAAAAGCAGATTGCAACCGTGTGGCCTGCAGTGTGTAGAAAATCTTGTCCAGCATGCACTCAGCGTCAGCATGTTCTTCAGAGCGACCGCGTCGCCACTGCCAGGCCAAATCAAGGCACGCGTGGAAGACATCCTTCTGAGAAATGTGACGGAAAGGGATGGCGCGTAGCACTTGCAATATGTACTCTGTGGTTTTGTCCAGCGAATGTTTAGGGTCCTCTGCTATGGTGCTCCAAGATCGTTCGGCCACAGAAGTGGCAACAACCATCATGCCAAAGAGGTACCGCTGCGAGAGGAAGTTGATCGCAGTCAAGAAGTTGTTGTTCTGGACCGTGAAAAGGCGAGGAGCGTTAGGCATGGAGCTTGAGAGGTAAGCATCCATGCTGTGTTCCAAAAGAAAATTGGTTCTAATCATGGTGCCCAGCCAATACAAGCATTTCGGCATTGCGCCTTTGGCAACAGGGTGGATTTTGCGGCTTGACCCAAGCACTTTCAAGAGCTCTTCCATCTGAAAAAGGAGTTCTTCCTGCTCAGGCGTGATGCACAGGGGCTGGGTCGTAGCTTCTGGCGCTTTCGGACCAAATGTCGTTAGTGTGAACTGAAAGATGCTCTCCAGAAAGGGCAAAAAAACCTTGCCGCCAGAAGGCGTTCCAAGATGGTTCGGGCGCTGGCAAGGCACGGCCGAAACTGAACAAGCATCGCTGAACCAAACCAATGGGTTTGGTGAAAGCTGCCAAACACCAGTACTGTAAGAAATAGAGCTCCTGCTGCAACCAGGACACCTCCATGTTTGTGGACACCGTCATCGGAGGTGGCTCCTGCACCGGATCCAAACGGTGGGTGGGCTCACGCCGTGCGGCACGCTTGCGGTCAAGCATGGTGGTGTGGCTGAACTCATCTCCATGCGCTGCGTCCAGGAACATTGTGAGATCCACGTGCTCCCCTTTCTTTGTGCCACCAGCTGACGTGCCACTGAAACTTAAATCCAAGCGCTGACCAGCTTCGTCACTGTGCAGCAACAGATAGCCATCGGTGTGACGTAGCTTGTCAATGGCTGCAGCGGTGGTGCAGGACTGCTGCATGTGAAAGTCATCAGCTGATGTGCCATGCATCAATCCAGAATTGCTGCGAAGCACGTTGTGCGCACACTGTATGACTGGCTTCATGGCGCCTCGCTTTCCTTCTCCAGTTTCTGCAGTGCCCACGAACCAGAACCGGCTTTTGTTCTCCCACCGGCCCATATTCAAATGGAAGTTCTTGTTGACCAGGCTGTGCACGACTGCAAGAACAGTGTCGAGGAGCAAAGCAATAGGCGTGGCCGAAGCAATACTGGCAGCCATAAGCATGACTGCAAAAGGGTAGCAAAGTGTCTCTGCAATCAAAGGAGTAGTTTGCATTGCTGCCGAGCTGCTGATTCTTTCCTGCAAGAGCGTCTGCACGGAGCTTCGAAATTTCGCTATGCAAGTATCCATTGCAACGCTTGGAACATACTGCGGCAGTTTTTGCAAGAACTCTTGGACAGAATTTCCTTGAAGCCAAACGTCAAGAAGGAGGTGCGCATCAGCTCTAAGTTGTTCTTCCGTGCATAGGCGAGGCTGCTGAGCAAGCGGCTGCGTGGCTAGAATCTCTGTGACAGGTGTGGCACTGGCGCCACGCCCAAGCTTGCAACGTATGTCCTGTGTGGAGAACCAAGATGGAAGCATGGCGCAAGCAACAAAACTATGGCAGCTGGAAACAAAAAAAACAAAAGCAAAATGTCCTCCCAAGCTGCAGCAACATCCGCATCGGGTTCTAGTCTGACCTGGGGGGGCAGCATCAACTGGACATCTTGAATGTAGGAAAGCATGTTAATCAGGGACCCGCCTCAGCAACATCATCTGGAACTGGAAAAGTGGACATGCAGAACGCTGCCACCTGCTCGTCACTAAGCTTCTCTTCGTACAAGGCAAACGCACAATGGGTCTGCTAGCATCCAGGAAGTTGCGGCAACCGAACTGGCACCTCAGCATCATTGTAGCGTATCCAAAGCCCCGTGGACGGTTCCCGAACGAAGCAAAGGTAGTGGCCAGAATTGGTTTCGCCTCTGTGACACACACATGCTCGAAGAGCATAACAACGGCCAAGCACGTCGAGCTCTGCTTCCAAATCCACTGCTGTCTTGCTGCCGATGCTTCGAGTCAGTTGAAATAACACCAGGGGGGCCAAAACTCCAAGCGTGCTTGGCAAGAAAGCCTGCTTGGGCGTCGCAGATAGGACATTTCATCGCATTCTCAGGTCTTTCTTCTTGCATCATACCCATGAGCGCTTCCATGTTCAATGGCCCATCTGCACTGCATGGCACTTTCAAAGGCACAATGTACTCCAGCTGACGGGGGGAAGACGTGGGGCTCCGGCAGCTCAACGCCACACTGACACGGCAAGGTTTGTGTAACAGTGGTGTCCAAAGAAGCTCCAAACATGGGCGCAAAGAATGTGTGCGCCAATGCGCACAGCTTCAGAAAGAACTGCAAGGGATCCTGCTGCTCGCGCCATGACAGTTGCGCATCTTCAACCAAAGGTTTCCACAGAGACTGAATGCAATAGACCTGTTCAATGCGGCGGCTGTTTTCTTCTGTGGTGGTCAAAGCACACAAAGCACAGGGAAGCCCCCGCCCGGCAACGGTGTAGCAACAGAGCACACTGCATAGCAGCGCTGGAAAAAAAGAGCCTGCAAGAGGCTCCCAAGCCAACAGCTTGTGCCTTTGTTCAGGAACCGGCCACGGATACCAAACGCGCTGCTGCGCCGCAGGACTGTTGGCAAAGGAACCTCAACGCGTCGTTCGTAGAGGTCCATGTAGGATGGGCCTCACAGCAAGGGAAACAGAAGAGGCTGCTGGCACTACCGGCTCCCTCCCCACCTGTGGTGTTGCCCATGAGCGCATGGACCCGCCTGTTTCGATCCTGGCCACACGACATGAAAGCACAAGGAAGGTAGCGCGTTGGACGCCCTCTGCCTTGCCTTCCGCCCGACAAACCAAACAGCAATTGTCGGGGAACCTCGGGAAATTTTGAAAAAAGGAAGCACCAACTGCACGTGGTGCGCGGGTCTGAGGCCGGGACATGGCAGCATCCGCACCGACATGATGCGTGCAGCCTTGCAACAAAAGCAACCAAACCGAAATGGAAGCAGAGCATGGACCCCAGCGCCTCCAACCAAGTCATGATGCACACATTCAGGACCTGAACAACAAACAGGACGGATTCAGGCACCTGTGCAGATACGAGTGTCATGTCTGAGCAAAAGACCGGCAAAGGAGAACGCGCCTTAGACGGACAGCTGCAAAAAAGACTAACCTTGGAACGCGACTGTGACGGAGCACTGCACCTGCTCGACCTTGTCCAGGAGCAGTCTGATTGCCTGTTGAACAAAGAGCATTGGCTGTCAAGCTGTGAAAGGAAAAGTTGCAAAAGGAGGTCCTCCGACCTGCCGGTACTGTGCGCGAACCCGACGCGCCAAGGATACAGCGAAGCTGTCACCTTGGAAACAGCAGCAAGGTGTCAACCTTGAACTCGTGAGGCTGCGGCCTACGGTTATCTTAGTTGATGCTTTCACGCGTATGGTCCTGAAGCCCAGCCCAGGACAGTCAGACAGACAAAGACCGAGCTCGCAGCACCAGGAATGCTCGATGTGCAAGCCAGAAACGGCCTGGGATAGCGGAAGGATGGGCCACTGAAGGCTGTCAACGGTGAACCCTTAGGTACAAGCTTCTGCAGCATCCGCAAAGTCAAAGTCGAAAGCCTGCACAGATCCAAGAAAAAAGGCACAGGGCCGCACAGCTGGAACAGGGCACAGGCCTCATCTGTCGAGCACTGAGTTTTCTCTGGGTACCTTGGCCTCCATGGGCGACGTCGTGGTGCACGCGCCGCAGGGGCCTCCGCACAAACCAGAAACAAACACCGAGTCACAACACCGCTGCAAAGAATTCGTCACATTTGGCGATGAACAAGATTCAAACCAACACAGGACTGGTTCTTCAAAGGACTGGCTGCATGGCATGCGATCATTTGATACATTCGCCACACGGTCATGAAGGGGCTGTTGCGCGGGTACCTTGGAAGACGGCCAGGCCACTTCCAGACGCCTCTCCTGCCAGTGTGAGTAGCAAAACATCGATTGCAGACTCTGCAGACAAACATGCCATTGAATGGAGTAGAGGAGTCTAGAGCAAGCTTTTGGCGCACGAGCCTCTTCGCGCACCGGCTCATCCTGACAAGGCAGAATGAGCAACGCAGGACAGGCGACAAAGAAGGACAGGCGGCAAAGAAGAACCGCCGCAGCAGCAGCAGCAGCACCACCACCAGCAGCAGCAACAGCAGCAGCCGCATCCAGCAACAGCAACAGCAACAGAAGCAACAGCAACAACAACAACAACAGAAACAACCGCGACAGCGACAGGAACAGCGGCCGCAAGAACAGCGGGAACAGCAACAGCCAGCACAGCAGTAAGCACGGACAAGAGCGAACTACGTGCTGCAGAACCAAACAGTACTGCTGCAGCTGGGGGCCAAACGACAGCGAAGCGGAGGAATCCAACCTGGTCGGCTCAGACTTAGCCGCGCAAAGCTAAGTAAGCAGAAGCAGCTGCAATTAAGCTACAGGCTGGTGTTTTCACTGTAAGGGCACAGTGCTGGCGCAAATATTCTTTGGCGGTCCAGCACCAGTTGGCCTGGTACAAGGTTACATGCCAAATTGTAACGGCATGGTAGGAGCGATACACTACATGATAGATAA